AATGCAAGTCTGAGAATGCAAGTCTGAGAATGCAAGTCTGAGAGTGCAAGTGCGAGGCTGCAGCCAGACCCTTCTCTACATTGCAGGCGAGGCGCATCTCAAACAAGCCTAATCACAACACACAGGATAGCTGGCCAATCAGTGTACACCTCACTTTTCAGACCGATGAGATTTGTAAAAATCGACACGTTTCAGAAAGGCGGGGCATAGAGGAGAAACAATAATGTACAGTATGTGGAAAATATTGTGTTTTTGAACCTTAAACCGCACAAACACAGTGCATTACACCAAATACACAACATAATGTTCTTTTTAGCAACATCATATGACCCCTTTAACTAGGGAAGAATTCAGGAGAGCAATAAAACAAAGACAGTCCTAATAAAGTGAAATGTTTGCTGCTTGTTTATATACTGTTGGACTGACATTATTAGCAATAACATTCTTCTCACAAATTTGAACAAGGAAAATCTATCTGTACTGAACAAAACACTTTATACAGTGTAAGGTATAAATTATAGCTTCCCATAGGAATTTCCTTACTAAAAGGAGTTTGTGAAATTGCAGTATAATTAAAAAAATTTTTTTATAAAAATGAATTAAAATGTAGTAACAAACATATCACAAAAAAAATGTTTCACAAGTGAAAGCGCAAGATGTGAAATCTCACTGGAAAAAGATAAATCCAAGAGTTGTCTCTACTTCCTCCGCAAACTAAGAAGAGCCAGAGCCCCGGCCCCACACACTGTCACTTTAATCAGTCTGAATAAGCTCTTTTGCACTACAAATCATTATATCTGCACTGTTGTTTACGTCACTGGTTTGCACTCTATCTGCCATGTGCCTTGTGCTGCTTTATATATTTTTTTACATTTGACCTTATTTGTATATTTGTATAGTTGTATTTTATATTTAATCTGTATATCTGTATTTATGTTCTACTGTTAGTGTTATCTGTATGCACCAAGGGTCTGAGAGTAACGCAATTTCAATTCTCTGTGTGTATGTGCTGTACATGTGGAAGAACTGATAATAAAGCAGACTTGACTTGACTTGACTTGTCATTACAAAATGTATAATTGCACGAAGTTTCCTGTAGTACTCCTAATATCCAATAGGGGGCGTAAGAGTTCTCAATAACGATGCTACGTCAAGCCAAACGGGAATGACCGAAATTACGACTGTACTCGCAGAGAGTCATGCGCGCATTTTAATTCACGCATTGTTGATCTAGCGTGATAAAAATGGCGTCTACATGGGAAATACATTTAACAGTTGTTTATTTAAGCGTCTTGTTTGTCCTGGCCAATGCACAATCGAAACAAATATCCACGGTGGGTGACATTTCTCATATTTTGTAGGTAGTTTACTGTTTCTCTGATACATTCACGTGTAGCAGTACAAAGGCTTATCAGATAGATATCTGTCAAGTTAATAGACATTCATTTGGTTTTAAAAGATGCTTAACGTAGCTACACCATAGTTTGTTTGACACGTTTAAAGAAATCGTCGGTTTAATATTCACGGTTAGTTTACCCAAAGCAGTGTCTTTCAGCATTGAAAACTTAAGCACATTACTGTCAACGCGTTTGTCTTTGTGTATGTGGTTTGTTTCACAGGAAACGGTTGTGTTAAATGTGACAGCGGTTAGTGAAACTAACCAGACTAAGTACAGTGTACAGGTAAGATAATAACTCGTGGAATAATTACACGAGAATGGTGCATCACATCCGTATTATGTTTTGTGAAGGCGTGATCATTTAAAATTATTTCTCATCCCTTCTTTCAGATAAATTTAAATATAGGTCTTTTGGACAATGAAACGTTTATTAATGGAGCTCCTCTCAAGCCTTCAGGAGTTACAAGGATGACATGTCCCGTTTTATTGTGTATGTATCTTTGTCTTTTTACTTTTAATTAATTACACTTCTTTTAACTAACAATGAAAAATGCAAAGAAAATAAACCCGACCTAACATAAACTAATAATTAGCTAACAGTTGTATTTTTATGAATTAATGTTAACAAAGGTTAATAAGTACTGCAATGTATAGGTCATTGTTTGTAAATGTTAGTTAATGCATTAATAGTTAATGCGAATAGTTCACACAAAAATTGCTGAAAATTCACTTACCCTCATGCCATCCAAGATGTAGACGAGTTTTTCTTCACGGAAACAGATTTCGAGAAATGTAGCATTACTTTACTTTACTTTTACTTGTAGTCATTTAGCAGACGCTTTTATCCAAAGCGACTTACAAATAAGAAAAAGTAATTAAAACTAAAAGCTAAAACTCTGTAAATACTATATATATACACATTTAAGAAAATAAAAGAAATTAAATAAAAATGACAAATGCATACAACAACATTTCAAAACTAAACATTTAAATGAAAACAAAAAAATAAAGCTAAAAACAATTCAAAATATTAAAAGAACAAAAGGTATGAGTATAATAATGATTCTAACATAACACTAAGCCAAACACCAAAAAACAACTACCAGGAAGCCGAAACTAGGCTATCATACCGGCTGGACATCATATCGAAGAGTGAAGTAAACACTGCAAGTCGAACACCCAGTTTCTGAATCCAACAGAGGGGGTGCTCATCGAGGACCTACCCTAGAAAAAGGACAGAAACACACAGGTCCCGGGAAACACTGCAAAGAAAGCTAGCAGAAGGATTTTACACACAACCACCACCGCATTAAATACACACATACATATATATATATAAATATATATACATACAAACAAATTTATAAATTCCATATATATATTATTTCATTTCCATTACATCCCTTGTTCAACAGTGGATCCATTGCAGTGAATGGGTGCCGTCAAAATGACAGTCCAAATAACTGATAAAAACATCACAAGAATCCACAAGAAATCCACATGACTCCAGTCCTTCCAGTTTGTAAAAAATGTGCACGCTTGTAATTCATCAAGACATAATTTTTAACTTTAAACCATTGCTTCCAGCTAAAATATGAGTCCTGTATCCATAATATTGCTTGCTTTTCTTGATGGACTGAAGTTGTGTGGATTATTGTGATTTTTTTTTTAATCATCTGTTTGAACTCTGACGGCACCCATTCACTGCAGAGGATCCATTGGTGAGCAAATGATGTAATGCTACATTTCTGCTGTTCCAATGAAGAAACAAACTCCATTTCTGGGATGGCTTGAGGGTGAGTACATTTTAATATTTTTGGTGAACTATTCCTGCAATAGTGGAAATTTAAATTTTCTTTGTGTTTGCAGTGGATGGTTCTAATGTGAGCTCTAGTAATCTGGCGGATGGGTTGGTCAGCAGTGAGCTGAGGCTGATGGTGAATCAGTCATATGTTCAGAGTGAGGCTGGAGAGCAGCTTCTGTTACTCGTCCTGAGTCAGGAGATAATCCAGCTGGCAGATGAAAAGGTTTTAATCATTACCCTATAAATGATGACTGACAACTGAATTATTTTTCATATCTGTTATGTCCTTTCTAGAGTAATTCAGTCTTAAACATGGAATGGCAGCTTTAATGCTTTGGAACGGATCCAAACTGTAGAATGAGGCTGTGCACATGAATGCTTGATGCCGTACATTTTGTAGGTCCAGCAGCCAGATGTGTGTGAGGTGGAGATCCTGTGGAACCAGAGCTCTGAGAAGATCACACAGGTGACCAATATTTACCCTTCATCAAGAAGCAAGCTCTATGCCATCCCACGAGAGAGTGACGTCTTGGTGACTAATGCATCCATACGTAATACAGGTTAGATAGATTTGTGGAGTAAAATGCCTGTTGTTTGTAATCTCCAAAAAATGACTGATGCTTTAACTGGAAGGATTCTTATGAATGGTTTTCTGTCTTCACAGTTGAAGACCAAGTGCTTAACACCACCAGCCACTATCTACTCAAACATGCAGAGACCACTCAGGAGGAGATCGCAGCTCCGGGGAAACTTCCTGAAACACCCTTGCGGATGGACCCTGAAACTCTATATGAGTCCAGAGAGGAAGAGGAAAGGACTTCAGATTCCGTGCTGCTTGGGTCTCCTCTGAGTGGGTCCATGTCCTCCTATAGTGTAAGTGACTGAGTACTGTTAACTCTTGGACCATATTACATATATATATATATATTAAAAGACATAAGACATTTATGTTACAGAATGTTTCTATTTCAAATATATGCTGTTCTTTTGAACTTTCTGTTTATGAAAGTATCCTCAAAAAGTCAGTTTCCACAAAAATATTAAGCAGCACAACTGTTTTCAATATTTATAATAAGGCGAAATGTTTCTTGAGCAGGATATCAGCATATTAGAATGATTTCTGAAGGATCATGTGTTGCCATTAGGGGAATGCATTTTAAAATAAATTCAAATAGAAAACAATTATTTTAAATTGTAATATTTCACAATATTACTGTTTTTCTTTGGGGAGCATGAGAGACCTAAACATAAAAAAATCTAACTGTTCCCAAACCTTTATGTAAATATAATTAAGAATAAAAATATAATGAATACATTTTTAAAACTAGTAACTCTGGATGACCTTAATTTCCTCATTTTTTAAATGTTCTGTTTTTCAATAGTGTCATTTTCCTCATGTGTTGGTATTATGTGTGTTGGCAGGTGGCATGTCAGTGGGTCAAGGGGCTGAGAGATAAACTGAGGCGCTTCTGGTCTGATTCTATCCCAGTCTTCTTCTTGATCATGTGGGTAGTGGTGGTTGGTGTTGCAGGTTCAGCTGTCATCATTAAGATCCTGGATCTTCTGTTCCCCTCCTGTGAACACGGGTACAACCTGCACCCACCCTGCATCATATGCATGGCCATTTCATTTAGTACTGTAGAACTAAACACAGCTGGATTAGAAGTGGTATACGGGTTAGTTTGCTGAATATAATTTAATAATAATTTATGCATTTATTAGATGCTTTTATCCAAAGCGAAATTTTTTACCAGTATGCACATATAATAATGCAATATATACAGAATATCACATATAAATAATACATGTTTCTCTTCTGTCTTTCTTAGGGGATTCTTTCATTTGAATCCAGAGACTCTGATGCCAGATGATGAAAAACAGAGGCTAATAGATAACATGGAGGGAGAAACAACAGAAAAAAGCATTTTGATAGAAAAGTGATGGATGGGTTCTCATTAGTTCGGTTATGTGGCTTTATTTGGTTGACAATACCAATGATTTCAATGTAACACTTTAAAAGAAAAAAAAATATTCACCGACATTTCCTAATGAAACAGATTTCTATTTTCACATCTGTGTCTGTTTAACAGCATAATCAGCAAATTACTTTTTGTATTTTTCACTACATTGTGAGGTGGAACAGGTGCATAAATTGAAATAAGCACAGTCCCTAAAATAACCTTGGCTTTTTCCCACTAAAGTGTTTGTTTTATGGTAATACTAGGAATTGCTTTGCCTGTTGTGTGGACATGGCATTGCGTCAATACTGACAATTAAAGGGCACAGCATTCAAAAAATGGACAAATAATCCATTAAAGTTGAAGAACCATCAATATAACTTTAACAGCTGATTTTCAACTGTCCATATTATTTAAATGGATTATTTCTTATTTCTCTGTTTTTAAATGGCCTGTATAAAACTCTATGTTGCTTAATGTTGTTTAATGTTAATATTCATGTTGCTTCAGATATTGCCCGTTATGTTAAGCATGCACACCAGCAATACATTTCAACTCTGACCTGCATGAATGAAATGAAGATTTGTACACTTGGGCCTGAGCAGTCTGTCAAAGTATTCCCCATCACATCACAACGTTTCAATAATTTCAAGCATTGTACTTTTAACATGTTAAACATTTCAACAGGATGCTTATATTTCATTGTTGCCGTCATTGGCTGTGAATGAAATCAGTCATTTTCTGTCATTCTGACGCATGTTATGACGTTTTTCCTCACCGTTTGTTAGAAGAGTAAATTCTGCACAAATTAGTTTGTCTCATTGAGTCTTTAAAAAAAATATTTATTAAACAAAATACATAATTTTACAACTTGATCATGGCAATGGAATGCCAGTAATGAAAAGAAACCAGAAACCGGTTCCATAGTGTTTATAAACGTCAAGTGCTGTACACACCTTTAAGACACGCTGGTCTCATCACTAAGACAATTGTCCAACGCTGGAAACTTTGGCCTTTAAATCAACCACAGGAGCAGTAAACCTTTTAGCTTGCATAGCTTTTCACCTCAAGTAGCATTTGGAGACAACAGAGGTCTTTGGTCATTGGCAGTGATTTTACAAGTAAAGACAAAACAAGCAGCCCAATCCTGTGTCCACATTAACATTATTGTCTGGACACACTACAGTAAGGCAACACATCATGGGGCTGTTTGTTATAAGGGCACCAAAACGGGCTTTCCAGACTCCAGCACTCTGGATTTACTGGATAATTAGTTCAGCCTTCATCCTTACAAATTGATGCGAGTGAACTTCAGTTTAAGAGAAAGCTTAACCTGTATCAAGCTAATCAGCTCTGAAAAGTCCTGTAGATGTAAAACCAATTCTATTACTATTAAATATTAAACTATTACTATGAATCTGTACACTCAAGATACAAACCTCACGCAAGGCAAGACTTGCCACCCTTTGATTTCAGTCTGGTACAGAGTGGAAGTGCTCTGAGATTTAGTGAAACTGACCCTCAGTCTTTCAAAGTGCTAACGGTGACTGTAAGAAGGTTCTTTGGCATCATCAGCAGGAGCCAAACTCCGCTATCCACTTTTCATATTTTTCTAGGTCAGCAGCAGATACAGACTTGGACACTTTCTTGAGTGCCGTCTCAAAGTCTTCCATTGTAGTGGGCATGTGCATCTCATCTTTCGACAAGTTTCGTATCTCCTCAGGGGTCAAGCCCTCGATCCGCCTTCTCATTGCCATCAGAGATGCATCTCTGCAATTATTCAAAAACAATGAATCCCTTCTAGAATTGTGGGACTTCAAGCATTGAAAATAATTTCAGGTTGCACACAAAAGGCTGCACCTGCAAACATTGGTGATGTCAGCACCAGAGTATCCCTCCATCTGCTCAGCGATCTTGTCCACGTTGACATCATTGGCCAGCTCCAGCTCCTTCAGGCTGATCTTGAGTAACTCCACTCTTCCTTTAGCTACAGTAATACAAATGATGAATTAAATACTGATGTCATTTAATACGGTGTGATGGGTAATTCTGAACACCTGAGGGCAGAGGGATGTAAATTCTCTTCTCTAGCCTGCGTCTCAGAGCTTCGTCGATGTCCCATGGGAAGTTGGTGGCTGCCAGAACCATGACCATTTTCGAAGGGTCATTTTCAGACGTCCCACCAACACCTGGAAACACAAGAGGTGTATTTATTGATTTTTTTTTCAGAGCAGCTTGACATTAATAAACAAGAATGTTGTAAAATTCATAAATTCTGAAATGAATTCCATTTCACCAGTAAAGCAACTCTACAGACGATGTGTCATTATACAGCTCAATTAGAAATTCAAATAAGCAGCTCTACAGAAGGCAATAGTGTTTATTCAGCTTATATCGGTTTGATGTTGATTTCATTCAGTTCAATAACAGTCAATGTTGCAAAGTTAGTTTCATTATCCAGCTCAATTCAAATGTTCTTCTCTTCCAATAGTGTCTGTGCAGTTAAATTGACAATATTACTGAATATTAATAACTTTTAAAGCCATATCTACAGTTTGTATGAAGCAGTACCATCCATCTGGACGAGTAGTTCAGCTTTGACGCGTCTGCTGGCTTCATGTTCCTCGGAGTTTCCTCTACGGCTACATATGGAGTCTATCTCATCAATAAAGATGGTGGAGGGGGCATAAAAGCGTGCCTGTATGAACATGCAAACACACAAATGTATGTATGGTGAGAAAACATAAAGGTAGTTTGGCTACTATTTTACATTTATTAACGAGGAGTAGCGCAGAAAGTGATTTTACCATCTCAAACAGCAGCCGCACAAGTTTTTCAGACTCTCCTCTGTATTTGGAGGTGAGGGTGGACGAGGACACGTTAAAGAAGGTGGTTCGGCACTCAGTGGCAACAGCTTTGGCCAGCAATGTCTTTCCTGTGCCTGGCGGACCCACCATCAACACTCCCTAAAATCATATGTGAGTTCAGTTACTGTGTGTATCAGAAATATAGTATATAATGTATATATACACATAATGCAGTAAAGATTACCCAAAAAGTGGATGGTAATACATATAAAAGTATGTTTCACAGCTGTTAAATAATACTGTCTCAAATAATTAGTTACACTTTTTTTTAGTTACTTTTTTTGTGACAGTTAAAGGGATAGTTCACCCAAAAATGAAAATTTGATGTCTACCTGCTTACCCCCAGGGCATCCAAGATGTAGGTGACTTTGTTTCTTCAGTAGAACACAAACGAAGATTTTGAACTCAAACCATTGCAGTCTATCAGTCTTATAATGGAAGTGGATGGGAATCACGGCTTTGGGAGTCAAAAAAAAAAACACACAGAAACAAAACCAAATGAAACCCTGCAGGTTTAACAGCAGGCGTGTGAGGTGTCTTCTTCTTCTTGCTTTACGGCAGATCGCAGACTTATAAGTGCATTACTGCCAGCTATCTCTCAAATGGACCATTGACACTCCTAATTGAGATTGTAGATAGAGTGAAAATGGTCCATTTGAGAGATAGGTGGCAGTAATGCACTTATAAGTCTGCGATCCGCCGTAAAGCAAGAAGAAGAAGACGACGCATCAGGTGCCGGCTGTTGAGAACGCGCTCAGGACAGACAGTTCGGACATTGCGGTGAAAATCAGAGGTAAAAAACGATATAAATACTGTTCAGTTTCTTGCACAGACCGATCGTTTTGTGTCTTTACGCATCAATGTATCGTCACGAGCCGCAGGGTTTAATTTGGTTTTGTTTGTGTTTTTTTGACTCTCAAAGCCGTGATTCCCATTCACTTCCATTATAAGACTGATAGACTGCAACGGTTTGAGTTCAAAATCTTTGTTTGTGTTCTACTGAAGAAACAAAGTCACCTACATCTTAGATGCCCTGGGGGTAAGCAGATAAACATCAAATTTTCATTTTTGGATGAACTATCCCTTTAAGGGATTTATAACATTACAAAAAAAAGTCCACTTCAAACAAATGCTGTACTTTTGAACTTATCAAAGAATCCTTAGAAAATGAATCAGTTTCCACAAAAATATCAAGCAGCACAACGGTTTTCAATATTCATAGGAAGTGCTTCTTGAGCTCCAAATCAGCATATTACAAGAATTTCTGAAGGATCATGTGACACTCAAGACTGAAACCGTGGCTGCTGAAAATGTAGCTTTTACATTACAGAAATAAATTATATTTTAAAATATTTTAAATTGTAATATTACAACAGAATATTGCTATTTTAACTGTATTTATGATTAAATAAAAGAAGCTTTGGTGAGCATGGCACTGTCTGAAAGATTTGGGATGGGGCTTTTCGAAATCCATACGAGCATATGTGATTTTCTTGTATTCATACCTTCCACGGGCGCCTTATTCCTTTAAAGAACTCAGGCATCCACATGGGCAGAACCACGGCTTCCTTCAAAAGCTTCTTGGCCTCCTCCAGGTCAGCAATGTCATCCCTATATTCAAAATTAAAAACCATTATCTATGACTGATTATTTTCCTAAAACTAAGGATATTTGAGAAAATAAATGAGAAATGGAAGCACTTCTGGAGAAAAGTGGGATGAAAGTAGATGAACCTACCATGTGACATTGGGGTTTTGAGAGATGATGTCTCTCTCCAGATTTTCAATCAGATCTTTGTCCTCTCCTCCTCTGTCAAACCTCTTCACCTCCGTCTCCACACCCTCCGCTTTGTTCTAAAGAGGGCAGAGAGTTTCATCAAATCAAATCATTTTTAAAATGATTTCTTTGGCAAAAGGTTCTGATGGGCTTTTCTGCTAAATTAGAGACTGTTGCAAATGGCTTTGCAAAAATGGTAACATCAGAAGAAGACTTAAGAAGACTTCAACCAAATGACCTGCAAGTACAGCAATTTCTGTTATTTCAATCTTTGGACCAAAACCAAAGTGCTTATGCAAGCGTTTCCTTTGTGCTCTTCACTATGTTTTACTTGAACTTTCTGAACGGTTTGCTTTGATGTCAGAAACTGGTATCACAGGTTCATAACATTAATACAGCGAAAGGCATCTGATCCTTTGAGTAAATACTGTGACTGCACGCACTTTATGACACAATAGGCCTTGTTCAAACAGTAGACAGAAATAAGAAATGGATCCACATGTTCTTACTCTATCATCTTTTGGCTTGAACGGGTTTTCTTTCTTTTCTTTGCCTTTCTGAGCTTTTCCCTTGTCACCGTTGGCAACACGTGGTGAGGGTCGTGGTTGGTTGCGGGGGCCAGCGCTCAGTCGGTTCCCATGGCCTTTACTTTCTTTATGCGGGCCGGAGGATTTCTGCACGACACATGGAGACGGCCTGTTCACCAACACACAGACACATGCATGTAGTATCAGGACATACAGTGAACCTGTGTGGACTCTGAAGGGGACCTTTAGCAATTTTATTTTAATTTGGCTGAATGGAATTAACTGTCCTTAATTAACATGGCTGTAATCGCTCATTCAAATGGTACTTCATAATCAGATTATAGTTTATATAACAGGCTCAAGAGCCCTTTATTAGCCTCAAGGGAGGCATGAAAGAGAATGAGGGTCTGAGAGACGGTGGGACGCCATTCAGAACTTAATCTAATTCACATGACATGAGTGCTGATGGGGGCTTTAAAACTCAACAACAACTACTAAAGACAGGATTCCCACACAGTATGGCCAATGAATTTCCAGTTGTTTGGAGTACTGTATAAGGATTCTTAAATCTTGTTTTAAAAAAAGCATATTTTCATGCAAGGGAAAATTGTAAATGTGAAAATTAAATCAATGTATTTAAATAAAAATTTTCACTATTTAGTATGGATTTTTTCATGATGTGTTAAAAATGAATTATAATTAATTTACTTTTTAAAAATGTATTTATTCTTTTTTAATGTCATTATTAAATGTCCAATCCATTTTTCAGGCCTGGAAATAAAACTGTAAAAACTCAGGTTTCTGAAGATTTCCATTTCCATCTTTTTTCAAGGTTTCTTTGACCATCATGGGAAATGAAGTGAAAAGTGAAAAAATGTCAAATAGGTGTATATATATCCCAAACCCAAATTGGAAAAACATGCAATATTAACAACAAAAAAGTAGATGTCTGCACACTGATATTAAAGCTGCACAACCAAGTACAATGTTTCAACCAGTTTTGACATTAGGCACAGTCCATCAGGTGCCTGATGCAGACCTGGTCGAAATTCTGGAAAGTCTGATGACTTGCAAAACGCCATGTTGTAGTCTATGAAACATGCTGCCCATGTTGAAAAGCAGAATTCTACTTCAAATGTATTATACACATATCCTACTGCATGAGTAAAAGAGTTTGTGAGACTCTGTGATGACTGTCTGGAGGGTTTAGAATAAAACCAGACATGGACATGTACCTGTGCTCCACGTGAACAGGCATAATGTCATTCTCCTGGCCAAAGCTGCTGGGTTTGGATGGGGTCGACTCCAGCTGGAAGCTCTCAAGTGTTGCCATGATCTCCCGAACTTGCTTAGTTTCCTCATTTATCTCCTGCCAAACCTGGACGAGACAACATGAACACACAAAAGCCTGTTACAAAAAGTGAAGAACATTAAATAGCCTTAATACTTTCAGACAGTGTGAACAATACCCAGAGAGGAACTCGAACCTGCTGCCATTTCTGCTGTAGAGAGGAGTCTCTGACTGAGTAGAGGTATTTTCTGATCTGCTCCAGGACCCCCTGATAACAGACCACCGCAGAGCTGTAGTTCCCCAGCAGCGCGTATTCTCTAGCCAGCTTCACATTCTCATTGATCTCCGCCAAACTCATTCTGCAGGAGTTCAAATATGAGGGACAGCTGAAGACTTATGGAAAGATGTTTTATGTTTAAAGAATACAAACAACATTTGTAAACGCAAATGGTGTCAGTTAATAACACAATTATATAAACCACATAAACAAAGGGGGTAAAAAACGATGCAACAACTTCCAGACAGTAACGTTATCCATAAACAGATTCGGGGATTACCAGGAAAGTATGACAAGCATTAAACATTATGAGCTTACGTTAAGACAGACATTTCAACTGTGTATTATAGCAGTGTGTGTAGTTACGGAGTTGAACTGTACAAACCTGCGAAGTGATCAGTCTCTGAAGTGTGTAAAACTTTCCACGAAAGATGTTAGTAAAGGAAAGGCTCAGCATTCAACCGTTATTACGGATCAAAACTCATGTGTGTGCTGCTTTGGACGAGGATTATATTTGAAATAATGTAGGATCCACACAAACTCATAAATTCACTTGTTTGGGAAGGGCACTTAAGACTGTGAAGGCGGAAGCAAAAGTAAAAATCCCTCGCGTCGCTGCTGGTCAAAATAAAGGTCAAAAGCGCGAGAATGTCTTTTCAAAATAAACGTAGAGTATGGTGATACAAAATTAAGTTATATAAAATGAATCAACTAAATACATAAATACATATAAACTAAAATATCTAATTAACGAAAATTAGTTATGAACATTGTATGAAACAAGGCACCAATAAAAAAAAAAGACATCGTTGTTAAAAGGTTGCCTACATTGAGGCAACGTTGTGTTTGCTGGGCATAAGTCTATATGCTACAGCACAGATAACCTTTTTTTTAATAGAGCTGTTCATTTTGTAGTCATAAAACTCAGAATAGAATTAATTTAGGATTGCAAATATGGGTTCTATTAGGAATCAGTTTTTAATCAGGAGTAAAAGATCTGTGATTAACATTAGTTGAAAAGATCTTAACATATTGTTTTACAACATAAATTATAGTCATAACTCCAAGTTGCTAAATAAGGACTACTACAACGCATAGATACAAGTTCACATGCCTGATAAATGGAAAAATTGTATTCCTAATGTAGAACCCAACAACAACAGCTTCAAAATTAATGTTTGAGGTGATTCACTTTTGCTCTTCCAGAAATTATATTCATTGAGGTAAATTTATGTGACATCAAAGTCATCAAATTGGTCAAGTTTAACAGCTGTGTGTCTTCATCTGCAGCTTTTCATTACATAATCAAAGTTAACTATCAATTCAGATCATAATGAAAACATGTCAGAAATGTTTAATTGTTATTTCCACGGTTATCAGCAAGTATCATTTCATGAACCAAGACGAGGAAGATGACAGGAGACCACAGAAGTATACCAGGTTACTGTTGCATTTGGACAATGTGTACATGATGAAAGAGTTTTTTTTTTTTTTTATGCTGCTTTCTTTGACACAGAATGCACAGACCGAGCAGAAAAATGTGTGCAAAATGTAACTGAATCAAAATACTTCAAAATGAAATGTTTAAAACTAGATATGTCTAGTAAGAGATGCAGCTATTGGCTATAAGGTTAAATATCTAAGATCTGTAGGATATAGAACAGTGATTGAAATCACAGACAATTTAGAAGAGCTTTCAAAAAGTTTCCTTCACTTGCAGAAATTGTGCTTCTGGTTGTAAAGACGAAATAGCCAGTGGTTCAGTAGTTACAATCCTTTCAAATATACAGTGTGGGTGAGGAGTCAGTACCAAAGTTTTCATTGAGAACCGTCTAGATGGGAACATGGGTTTTTGTAAAGGCACTTTTTTTTTTTTGGATACCATAAACCATAAATGGGTCTGAAGGTAATTACTGATATGCAGTTGGACTTTTTTGCATATGATATTCCCAAACATTGGCAGTGCCATTCACACTAAATGTCACATTCACATTCACAAACTGGATGCACACAGGACAAGAAAGGGGGTGGGGGAAATACTCCTGGGTTGGAGGATCTCCTCAGTCAACATTCAGTCAGTTCAACTGAAGTTTTTCCACACACGGGCATCACATTTCCTTGCAGTTAAAGAAAAAAGAAAAGAAAAGATGTGCAAAGTTGATTGATGGTAACAATGGGAAAACAATTCATGGTGACTGTGGTGATGAAAAGGAGAAAGCACTTCAATCAAACTACAAATTCAAAAAAATAAAAAAGGCACATGTACAGCAGCCTTTCTAATGTCTTTGTGTGTGTGCTGTGTGCACTGATGTTTGGGACGACTAGCAGCAGTGGAACTTCAGTTTTACAGTTGTGTCTTCTGGCCCCTCTTAATTTGCTTCCATGTGGTCCATTACTGGTCTGTGGCTGTTACAAGTTCGAACCACTGTCTCAAAGCATCACTGAGTGTCTCCGGGAGGGCGTTCACATTTCGCAAGATAATGTAGAAGGGGAAGGGGAATTCCTCCATGTAGGACCGAATCTCCGGCAGCTCACCCGGCCCTTTAAATATGGGTACTTTGATATCCAATATGGAATCCTAACATGGAGAGATTCATATATTAAACATTGCAATTAAGAATGTATATTTATTTTATTATTTAAATTATGTATTTAAGTAATTACATTATAATAAATATAATTCTAACAATTTTACGATAAATGTTACAAATTCATAAATGCTAAATAATTATCTTAAGTAAAAAAAAAAAAATAATAATAATAAAAACAACCTGGGGATCACTCAGCATCTTCAAAGTGCATTTCATTTGACTAATTTAGATAATGTCAAAACACATAGCAAATCCATTTTTTTTTAGTTTAGCTAAACCTGGATTGTTAACAAAATCCTGTTGAACCAATCGGATTCCTCACCCTGGAGTTTGGGTTATCCAGCACTACAAATATGACAAAGATGTTTGCGCTGCGAGCAGCCTGAACGGCAGCTGCGACTCTCTCTTTCCCTTCCAAGAACAAACCGCGACCATCAGATACTATTAGCAGTAACTGAGACGTTTCTGTAAAAATAAAACAAATCAAAGAAATGCATTAGATCAGAAAGTAAACAAGACTCATAACTAAGGGCTGCTTTGTTTACATCAATGTGATCAATTATTTTACCAGTGCTTGTTGAGCCAGGGGTCTGCTGTTTGGCTGCCATGAACATATTTGTTGAAGTCTCTAAAAACTGAAAGATAAAAATATTCCAAATGCTTTTGATTTGCAGTGGGATAGAATCTGACAGTCATCAGTTTAAACATATAACAAGATAATGCAAATAAATGTAACAAAAAACATAAAAAAGAAACTGAATTAAACAAAATCAAGACAATAAGAAAGTTCAGGGAGATATTTACTTGAGCTATTCTGGTCTTTTTCTGCTGGAACTGACAGAGCCGCAGTATTTTTGCTCCTGTTTGGTCATTGAACTGCTGGCGGAAGGGATGGAGCAGCTGGGCACTCTCTCCAAAACTGCAGCAAGTGAATTAAAAGATGGATAAATGAGTGTGTGAATGCATGCATTAATTCATTTATTAAAGCAAAAATAGAAAAACTGAGAATCTTTGCATCAATATTTCTCAGCCATAAGAGTAAAAAAAAAATGAACTGAACTCACCTGCACACAGCCACCTGACCCACTTCCAAAAGTGTGAGAGCATTCACTATGACAGAAACCGACTCAAATGCCAGCTACAGAGACAAACGCAATATCAAATACAATATTTATTCAAATAAATAGGGTAACACATCTTTCCATTTTAACAGGTTCAAATTAGGGGTGTCGCAATATACCCGAGTAATAACTGTAAAAAAAACTATATATTGATATTATGTTAATACTACATGTAATATTGTGACATAAGCCCTAGTTAAGTTGAATTCAGTAGGTGATATTTAATATCTAAAGTGATTTTGGGAAACTGTACCTGTTTGGAGTGGTTGTCCACCATACTGGAGGAGTCATCCACAGCCAGGCAGATCTGGTAGTTTCTCTTACTGGGTTTTGTTCTCCTCAGCCAGATCTTATCCTTGCGGAACTGACTGGCGATGTAAGGAATGACCTTGCGCATGTTCAGCCGTTTGCCTGTGCGAAAGTCTCCCCTGTTTAGGATCATTAAAGAGTGTTAATGGAAAACTGTTGAGGAGAACTGAAAGAACACCCAAATGTTGAGGGTCTGAACTGATAAATATGACCAATGAAAAACGACATCGGAGAAGATACTCCTTTAAATGATCCTATTAGTAGAAGTAGAAATGCTTCTTTTGAGGTTGGATGGGAAGGTAAAGGACCGACCTGAGTTTGGCAGCCTGTGTGGGCTCCAAGACAAGCCGGAGCTGCTCACAGAGCTGCTGGGACAGAGGAGATGTCAGGGCCTGGTACTGATGCCACAGCGCTGCTGCCGCACTCTCCTGAGGGACATGGAGTAAGAAGGAAAAAAAAAAGAAAAGAAGAAATGGATTAAAAGATTTATTTATTACAGTTTCGATATGTGAGGTAAAGAGAAGAAACTCAGTTGTCATGTGACTGGTGTTATGATGTCACCTCTTCCTGGGATCCTAAAGTCTGTCTCTGCCAGGCCTCCAACTGCAGCTCCATCTCTCTTCTCAGCTCTTCTGGGTTCTTCAATGGTACCTGATAGAACACAAATTGCTGTAAAATCTATATGCTGAATGTAATACAGCGGTTTGGGATTATTACGATTTTTTAAATGCTTTTTAAAAAGTCTCATGCCCACCGAGGCAGCATTAATTTGATCAAAAATATAGTAAAACAGTAACATGATCAATAAATATGATTAAAATGTCAAATAACTGTTTTCTGTTTCAAACTGAAATTTATTCCTGTGATGGCAAAGTTACTCCACTACCCCAGTCTTCAGTGTCACATGATCCTTCAGAAATCAGTCTAATATGATGATTTGCTGATCAAGAAACAACTTAATGATTAGAAGGTTTAAAAGAATATCATTTATTCGAAATATACATCTTTTGCAACATTATAGATGTCTTTACAGTCACTTTTCCTTAATTTTATGCATCCTTGCTGAATTACAGTATTCATTTCATTCAGAAAAAGAAACCTTCTGGAGTAAGCATTAATCAACATACCTTTTGCATGTCCATTAGTAATTCAGGCACAGTGTGGATGGTGGACTCGTCACTCCTCTCTTTCATCTTTTCTTCATTACTGCTCCTCTGTGTCTCTGGCTTCTCCTTTTCTTCTTCATTGGCCTGTTTCTGTGCCTCCAAGTCCCCACACTCCAAACCTGATAGAGAATGGATGGACGTTAAACATGGACACACAGGTTACATGTATGTGCACACACAGTTGGTGGATGTTAATATTCCACCTTTCTGAGAAGCTTTATTGTCGTTTAGCTTCTCAGGTTTAAGCTCCTGGGCTTCAACAGCTTGCAGGTCCTTTTCTTCCTCCACATCCATTGCAATGTCTGCTTCTTCATCCTCCTCTTCCTGTTTCACACTAGCCGGCTTCTGCTGTTCTGCACTGGCAGCGTCTACGAAGAAGATAGTCAGAGTATGTTTACATGGATTGGCAGATTCAAACCTGTCTTACATAAGCACACAGCTCAACCTTTCTGAATTAAGTATTTGGTGTGCACTTTACACAAAATGAAAGACAGAATATTCATAATAGTAAACAAATCCACACCATATGTCTGGGCATTGTATCGCTCCTCTCCGTGTTTTATGTGCTCGTACAGGTCAGACTCCTGTTGTGTGTTGGGCTGAGACTGATCTTGCGTTTTCTCCTCTCTGTTGTCAACCGTACGCAAACGTTTATTCACACGCTCATTATAATCACCCATTGAGCGTTCATTATCTGCCTGTCCAGGTTTGCGTTTGAAGCTCTGGTAAAAAAAAATTAAAATAAGAGAGGACATCAGCTTTTTTATATTTTACACTTCGTGCCTTAAGTTGTGATTTGAACACTGCACTGTTCTCAGCAACAAGACAAAACACCACAATTAAATAAATGAGCAAATAATTGTCAAGTGAAACAGGATGTTATTGAACACACTGACCTGCGTGTTTCTCTGCCTCTGTTTGTGTGAACTCATCCTGGCCATCAGCTTGGAGTCGTGCCCTTCAGACTGACTGGCATCTGCGGCCCCGCTGCCGTTCTCCTGTGGACATGGATCATTCACATAACTGATTTACTCAACTGAGCTCCAAAATTGACAAGAATTTTATACTGACTATAGAAATTTCATTTAAAGATTTTATTAAACATCCATGACTTTTCCAGGCCCGGAAATAATTTCTAATGTTCCCTATTTTGAAGTATATCTGAGTGAAAAGGGACTTCATATCTATTGGGAACTGATAATAACCGATTGGATTGTTGGATCATTTTACTGATTACTGTCCCGCCATTAATGGGCATAATGTTTTTGATTCAAAATGACAAGGGCACATGAAAAAAAAAACTTTTTTCTTTTAAGAAATAAAACCTTTTTATTTATTTTTTATTTTTGAAAGGCTGACACTTGCACACCTCCTTTGCCTGGTCTCTCTCTGACGCAGCTCCAGCCAGCTCTACTGCGGTGTCACTCTGAACGTTCTCCTCTCCTGTCTGTCCATCTGACGCATGTTCCTTCCTCTCTGCAGATTCCATCTGTGCTTCATCATCCTCACCCTCATTCTCTTCCTCCTGTGAAATGTCAGATTTCAATTATTAGGCGAGTCTTTTTCCTCTGCATGTTTGCATTATTTGCATTTCCATAACAAATGACTTTTGAACAACACACCTTTGGCTTTTGCCCTTGATCAGCTGGAATGGACTTGTTCTCATCTTGCCCTTCTTCCTGTCCTTTATTTTTCTCCTCCTCCTCTTTCTCCTCTTCTTCATTCTCTCCTCTTTCATCTGTGTCAGACTCTTGATTCTCAGATTTTTCTGCTCCTTCCTTCTCTTCTGATTTGTCTTCTTCTCCCTGTTCCTCTATCTGTCCTTCTTGTTGCTCATCTGTCATCTCATCTCCACCTTCCTCCGACCCATCTTTCTCTTCTTCCTTGTTCTCATCCACCTCCATGAGTTTGTCATCTATATCAAATGGATTCTCCTCTGAAGCAAAAGGAAAAAGTGTGTGAAAAACAAAGCACAAATTAAGAATAATTACAGTTAAACCAATTTTATAGTACATGTACACTACTGTTCAAAAGTTTGGAATTAATAAGATTTTTTTTTTTTTTTTAAAGAAATATTATTTTCGGTTAGGATGCATTGAATAGATTAAAGGTGATAGTAAAGGCATTTATAATGTTACAAAAGATTTCTATTTCAAATGAATGATATTATATATCATGATATTAGAATTAGAACTGGAGTAATAATGCTAAAAATGCAGTTTGGCAATCACAGGAATAAATTACATTTTAAAATAGGTATTTTAAATTGTAATAATATTTTTCAATGTTACTGTTTTACTGTATTTTTGATGCAGCCTTGGTGAGCATAAGAGACTTCTTTCAAAAACATTACAAAATATTACCAACCCTAAAGTTTTGAATGGTAATATTTCTTCTGTTAGAGGAGATGCCTGAATATTGAACATACCATCTCCTTCTCCTCTCTCTTCATCCTTGCCATCTTCATCCAGGTTGAGATCATCTGGCAGGTCCATGGCTTCTGTTTCTGCCGCCTTCTCCTGCTTACCGTGGTACGGGTCTACTTCATTTTCATCAAACTCACGCTACAAACACACACACATGAACATGTTGTTAAATATATACCTATTATTATACTCTCTTCCATTGGGTTCCATAGTTTTGATATTGAGGGAAAGAAATGGTGAAGATTGACATGGGCGTCACACGTTTGAATCCCAGCTCGTGGATCTTTCCTGATCCCGCCCCCCTAATTCCCCCACATTGTTTCCTGTTCGTTTTACACTGTCCTGTCTAAATAAAAAAACAAAACAAAAAAACAACAGAAATGGTGAAGGACTGACCTCATCCAGCTGTTCGTGGATTTTCTCCTTTTCTTCCTCATCTTTTGGGTGATCTTTGTCCTGGTTCTTATCTTTGTTTGACTCTCCAGCATCTGTGTTGTCATCCTTTGCCACCAGCTCTGACTCTCCCTGATCCATTCCTGGACCAGACTCTTCCTCTTTATCACTGTCAACATCATCCTCATCATCCTCATCATCTCCCCACATTCTCTCGTCCAGAGTATCTGTCTGACCATCACCCAGATCCCCCATCTTCTTATCCAGCTCCTCATCTTCTTCCTTATCAGAGTCTTCTTCATCCTCCCCTAAACAGGAGACGAGAGATTCATGTCATTATGTTTTTTCTAATCTTTGATTGATTGTGAAATTCAAGTTATATATTGTACTATTTGCACCTGCTAAAACCATTTTCAGTTCAATCTGTCAACTATTTGAGTAACAGTAAGTGCAGTCACCTGGCTCATGGTCTGTGCCGTCATGCATCTTTCCATCAAAGTCTTCAGACATCTCAATGGCATTGTCCTCCTCTTTAATGTCCTGTTTGTTTTGCTCCTCCTCCTTGTCCTGACCCTCCTGGAAAGTGTCTTCAACCTGTACAAAAGGCAAAGGTTCAGAAATTCATTTTGACATCAGTCCAGCTTTTAAATTTCAATTATGTTCAGAATTTCAAATTGAATCCAGTTCAGAATTTAATTTCGACTCCAGTTCAGATTTGAAGTTTTACTCAAGTGAGAATTCAGTTTAGTGTAAAATGTAAGTTCAATACCAATTCAGTTTAATTCCAGATTTCAGATAGTTTAAATGTTCAAATGCTTTCTTAACAGTGGTTTCCTCATACTAATGTACCTGATCCTCGTTCTCGATTTTGTCACTGACGTCTTTTACTCCTTCACCTTCTCCTATTCCTCCACCCTCATAATCATGGAACTCTGTGCAACAAAAATGTAAAAAAAAAAAAAAAATCAGGACAATTAAATGTTTTGGGGGGAAAGTGGTTTTAAAGTCAAACTAAATAATAATGTTGCAAACAGTAACTTTTCAGATTGAACAATTCTGAATTCTGTTTCAGAAAGGCTCCAGTGACCAGTGAGGGAAAGCACGAGACAATATACCTTCTGTGCGAGTTCAGTGAAGATGTTAGCGAGGACGGACAGGAGCTTTCCTGTGGTACGGTGAGCTCCCATCATAACAGCCAGATAATACCTCACCAACTCAGAGTACAGACACAGCATGGGCTCCAAACGCACCACACCCCTACATGCCTCTTTCAGTTCCTTCATATAAAATGTTCAATACACACTGTTATTTTCAGATGTAATCTGTTTGCAGATAAAACTGTTTATGTATGTGTGCGACTGACCTGTAGTTGGTGGGGCTGACAGTCATCCCTGTGTGATCGAAGTCTCTCCAGCAGCTCTGTTACGACTTCATTGACCTCTGGTAATGAGAGACTGGACACATCTTCACTCAGGTCTTCTTCCAGTAACCTGCTCAAGTGTCCCGGTTTCAAGAGCTCCTCTGCCACCTCTGAGTCACTCTCTAGAGAAGCACACATAAAATGAGCACACACACAGATAGATTCCCTCGAACATGCTCTGTGTAAAATCCTGGGTGAATTCCCACCTCTCTTGCTTTCTGACTGCTGATCCTCTGGTTTTTCCTTCTCCTTCCTCTTAACAAGCATCTGAACCGCACACAGAACCATGTTTATTGTTTTCTCCAGCTGCCTGGAGAACTCAGCAGAAAATTGATGGGAGCGCCCTGCATGCAGACAAGAAAAAAGAAAAGAAAAGGGTAAATTTAGATCAATATAGACTACACTCAAATGATAATGCAGGCAAGATGTTACTCTCTTTTTATATTTCTATTTAGCTTTAATTTATTTCAGTTTTAGTTTTATTAATTTTAGTGTTCAAGTTTTTTCATCTAATATTTATATTTTATTTTAAAAATATTTGTAACCATTTTAGTTAACAACAACAACACTGGTGTCAATGTATTGAAAGAGGAAGTAAGGACCGGACATGTCTAAGGTCTGAAAAGTACTCTGTGCTCTTACGTTTCTGTGACTGTCTGATAGAAAGCAGGTGAGTCTTCCAGGTGGTGAACTCTGTGAGGCAAGTCTCCACCTCCGTCCTTATGGCCTGGAGACCGCAGATGAGGGCAGGCTGGGTATGGAGGACCAGAACACCATCAGGAATAAAGAGTTGTTCTAGAGACGGCATCTGACCCACCACAATGCCTAGCCGGTCCAGAGAGGAACAGCAAAGTGTGAAGTGATCCCTATAAGGAGGAGACAGGAGATAAATGTTGATGTGTAATTTAAATCTTAAAGGGTGATGGATAAAGAACAGAGTTGAGACTCTGTTGAATATAAAAATTTCCATGACATTGTTACTGAGGACTTCTAGTAAAATAAAATAAAATTCACAACAGAAAATTTCACAAATTTTTTACAAATTATTTTTCTAGGCCGAAGAAAATAAACAAACAAACAAACAAGCAAACAAATATTAAAAAAAAAATTTAAATAAAAAAGTTAAAATTTTTGACTTTTCTAGGCCTAAAAAAAAATAAATAAAGTAAAATATAAAATAAAACAAAACAAATTTCACTACAGAAATGGTTCCAACATTTTTAGTGAGGATTTTTCTAGACTTAAAAAACAAACAAAAAATAAATTAATTAAATTAACTATAGAAACTACCCCAACATTTTAAATTATGACTTTCCCCAGGCCTATAAAATAAAACAAATAAAATTAAAATAAATAAATAAACAAATAAACAAAATAAAAATGTTCACAACATTTCCACACTTGAACAGCTCAATTCAAATGTGATGTGTTTCTCTTACTTACCAGCTATGGACAACTCTTTCTGTGGATTCCAGGGCCAATCCATCCAGCTTCTCTTTCAGGTCTTTCACTTCCTTCATTAGGTTCTCCACCTTCTGCTGCACCTCCTTCCAAGCCTGCTCCCCTCTCCGCAGCAAACACGCCTGTGGCTGGATGTGTGGGGGCATGGGAGACGGGTGGCTCAGTGTGGCTTGACCCTGCATGACCTCCCCCTCCCTGGCCTCAGCAGGGGCTGCAGAAGAACCTTCAGGACAGCACTGGAGGATCCAAGAGAGCTGATGGAGAACAACAGAGCAGTGCAGCACTGAAGACTGAGCCCTGATGATCCAGTGCTGGAGAGGCTTCTGAGGAGGGAGACCGCTGACATCATCTTCAGAGCAATGCGTGTCAGACTTGATACTCTGGATACTGTCGATCAACTTCCTGTTGTTTTAAACAGAAAAGAATCAGAAAACATGAAAACAGAAAATACAGTATTTAAGTGGGCCATTCAAAAGTTTGGAGTTGGAAGGTGTCTTATTCTCACCAAAAATTCAGTGTCACATGATCTTTCAATAATCATTCTAATATGCTGCTTTGGTGCTTAAGAAACATTTCTTATTATCAATGTTGAAAACAGTTGTGCTGCTTAATATTTGAATGGTAGTCTATCTAATGAATCTTGAAAGGACAGTACCTAAGTTGGACCCAGTGCTCTGTGAGTCCGGCAAGTCTTCCTCTTTGCCTCAGCAAAAGTTTAAACAGGTGAGAAGAGAAACCTCTACATCGTTGTATATTTCCCAGTCCAAGCTCCTAGAAGGACAGAGCAAGAATAAAAACAAAACAAAAAAACAATCCCTTATTGCAGCACTCAAGAGGACCACAATAAAACTTTAAATATAAAGAAGACATTTAATTTTGCTCATTATATCGGTGTGAGGCCCTCACCTTAACAGCTCTTTGTAATGACGTCAGCATGGCGTTGCGTCTGGCCCAGGATCGATAGAAGTACTTCTCACAGCCTTCCCACGCATCCATCATCTCCGCAAATAACCTGTGAACATTATTGCTATTTAAATAAGGCTCTGACTCTAGTCTCTATGACAGGCACTAGTCTGTAGACGCTGGTTACATACGTGTGCGCCGTGTTGTCCTGTGTCTTGACTGCAGACAGGGCTATCTTCATCTCCATGGGCTGCAGATACAGCGTCTCATCTGGGTCTGCTGTATGACCCCAAGTCAGACCCTTACGGTAGGACAGACCTGGACAGAAACAAAACTCAATCAATCTGCTGTCTGCATACACTTCAAGATTGTAGCGAAAAAGGAATAGATTTTGGACCATATAAAATAAAAGAACCTTGATTTATAAATCAATTTTCTAACACCACATGAAATGACTCAGACTGACCGATCTGTGCAAGCATCTTGAAGAGATCAGCCAGTGCTCTCTGTTTCTGCAGAAGGATGTGTTTCACCTCTGCCTTTTGCTTCTCCTGCTCCATGCTGCGGTCCACCGTCAGGCTCTGCAGGGCCTGCACATTGGTAATTATCTCAGCTGGAACAATAACAAATTGGAGAAAAATGTAAGTTTTTTGATTTATAAGAGATTTTCAAAATTCATACACCCTCACGTATGCCTTTAACAAGCCTCAAACATAACATGTTGAGTAAGCTCTACTAGCCTGAGGACAGCAAATATGACAGCATAAAACAATCTAGTTTAATAATAAAAACACAAAATAAACTCCTCTATGAAGTTCTCAGCCTATAAATGAAGGCAAACAGTGATACCTGTGAACTGATCCAGGTCTTCTGAGAGCTCAGGCAGAGTGGTCTTCTTTACCAGTTGAAAACACAACTTTTTCATCTTCCTCGTGAGGACAGGCAGACGGGCTTGGAGAGACGAGGGCTCTTTATCAGATGAGAGTTCCTCTGGACCATCAGCCTGATGCATGAAAAGTGTTTGAAATGCAACTTTGTTACAAAAAGAAACACCATAATGATCATGATAAGGACAATAGAGTTGTTCAATAACAGAAAATCCTCTAGAATTCAAGATGTCATGTTTGGAAAGGGCTGAAATTTCAGCTTGAGGTTATGTTACCTGCAGATCCCTGCCCTTTCCAGGCAGGGCAGCTCTCAGTGCTCGATGAACCCTGTGCAGAGAAGTCTCCTCAGGCTGTGAATCCACATCATCCATGCTGCTGTTACTGCCCTGCTCCACCAGACACGGTGCACACGGCTCCTTCAGTGCCGCCTCAAACTTCTTCACAAACTTAAACAGGGTCCTGATCACAGACACAATGTCATAACTGTTTTAGCAATGTGTAAAATATACAAGACCCAACAAGTCTAGTGCTGAAATGTAACAAACATGCTAATGAATAATGACATTATCACATTCAAAAGTTTGGGTTTGGTAAGATTTTTTAATGATTTTGATGACTTTTATGCTCACAGAGACTACATTTATATTATCAAACGTAAAGAAAGTATTAATACAGTTTAAAATAACTGTTTTCTATTTTTAATAAATTTAAAATGTCTGGCCCCAAACTTTTGAATGGTAGTGTAACTTTCAGTCAGTCAGCCTCACCTATGTGTCTTCTCCACTGACTGCTTGATGGACCAAAAACTGACATCATTCCACTTGGAGATTTTGACAAAGTCCTATAGGCATCAAGATAAACATTATATTAACTCAATAAAAGGAGACAAAATTACATCTGACAGTAGTCTTGCTTACTTTGAGCTCTTTCTCTATAGGGGACCTCAGCTGGGTGATCTTGGCCTGGATGCTCTCTGAGAACTGTGTGTAATATTTATAGAGATTCCAGAGCAAACTGCAGAGCAAGTCTGTGAGGATAAAAGGAAGAAGTTATTCATTTAATTTGGCCTGGGCTGCATTTCCCAAAAGCATCGGAAGCCTAAGTACATCGTAGACCCATTGAAACCAATGGAGCTTTGATCAACTTAGGCTTACGATGCTTTTAGGAAGCGCAGCCCTGCATAGTCATCATTTTGTCACACAGCAGCACTAATACACAAAGTACCAAAAAAAGTCAAAATAAAACAAACTGTACTGTATCAACATTGTATATGTATTGTTCTGTCCCTATGGATATGCTGTAATCCAGAATATCTCTTACCACATCCTTCCTGTTTGGGAGCCAGCAGGACGTGGCAGTGAAAACCAAGCAGCATGGACAAACGAACAGAAAACTCTCCTAAGGTGGAGCCTTCAATGAAGGCTTGCAGGGTGGATGAGACTGACGAGAGGGAAAGATTCTCCACACCATCATCTATTGGACAAGAAAAGTGTCATTCAATGCAAACAGATAAAAAAATAAAAATAAAAATAAATAAAACCGGCCACTGTGGCTAGTGGTTTTCCAAATTTACTAGCCACTCAGCATTTTCACTGGCCACAATTTTGTTGTTGGGAAATGACATTTTATATTACTTAATACTGCATACAAAAATTTATTTAAATTGATTTCCAGGTCATTTTTGACCTATTTAAAGGGCATTTTCCCCTAACCGTATTAAATGCATGCATCATCTTTCATATCAAATTCTTACATTTTATTAATAATTTCACTTAATATAATAAGACAATATAGGGCTGTTACCAGTCATATGAAATCACCTTTGTATCTACAAAATCGATCTTTCCACTGGAGAAACGTACGCATCATCTTTCATATCAAATTCTTACATTTTATTAATAATTTCACTTAATATAATAAGACAATATAGGGCTGTTACCAGTCATATGAAATCACCTTTGTATCTACAAAATCGATCTTTCCACTGGAGAAGAAACAGAAGTGACTGGAGCGGCATTCAGATGCATTTACACAGACAGTTCAATGTAGCTGAAATATAGCACGAATGCATTTACACTGCAAAATTACAACAGCACCACTGTGTGTTGCTCAGACATGAGCGACTGTTCTGCTGTAATCGTTGTTTGGAACTATTTTCATTAACCAAATGGAGCAAAAACGGTCAACATTGACAATATATCAAATTCAAATATTGAACTAAAATTTATATTAACTACTCGTTTTAACTCTTTAAAATGTCAAATTTGCAATCGTGGTTTTCAGGGAAAACTTCACTCTCTTGGTCGTGTCATGTTGCTTAACTAGGCTGTATGTTATAAATATAAAAACTAAGTTACATTTTTATGTTTCTTCTGTGTTCCGTTTACACCGAATGTAATAAAATAAGAATCATTCTCACCAAAATTTCGGTGCTTCCCTAATTAGATGTTTTAATCAGATTAGTTGTTCGGTCAGGCAAGTAAAATTCTCTTCTTTCACTTGCCCCTTTAAAAAAATCTACTTGTCCCAGACAAGCATTAATCAATGCTTGACTCTAGAGTCAAGCTCTGTTACTGTATATAAAATTCAACCCGCTGAAGTGGCTAGTAGGAGTGACCGTGTTAGTAAATGGACAACCAGTGCTTGGTTGAATTCTCAGCATGGCGCTTCTGTGCGTTATCTAAGCTGCTTGACCAGCAGCTGCAGAGATACAGTAGTTAAAAACCAATTAGACCTCCATATAGCAGATTAAAGCAACTTAAGCTTTAACCATCACCTTCAGTTTAAGACGGTTTAATTACTTACTTGAGCTCAAGTTTTCTCCACTGAATGATGAGCTGTGTGATAGCTTCCAGCTCATTCCTAAGAGACACTGCCCGGCTAGCATTGTTTTCCCAGTCCTGTGAGGAAGAATGAGAGAAGAACTGCTCACAAACTGATATCTGAAACTGATGACCTAAGCTGTGCACAAATGGTCATGAGCTGATTCCCCTACCTGTGCTTTGCTGAGCAGGATCTCCAGACCGTTAAGGAACTTTGCTAGAGGGCTGGAAAGACTAAACGCCAATATCCTCTCTATTACTATGGTGATCTGCGACACATAATACAAAAGAGGGCATTTGAGAAATAGCCAAAAGTTTTAACATACTGCATAGCAAATGAGTTTCAAAGAAGTTTGTGAGATGCATCTGTTCCTTAAAATATAAATGCAGCTACAGATTTTCAAGAAAATAACCATGTATACTATACAAAGCACAAAGAAATGTGCTTTGTTGATCATTTTTTAATCAAATTCTTTTAACAAATTAAATTGTTCTTTTATCAAATTAAGCACATCATTTTAACTCCGTTCTTTAAAAACAAGACGTTTAATAAACAGCCTAAAATACACAACCGTTAAATTTTTTTTAATGAGTTCAATGATTTTACTCAGTAAAGATGCATTGAACTAATCAAAAGCAACAGTAAAAGATTTATAACATAACGTTATTTCAAATAAATGCTGTTCTTCTATTCATCAAAGAATCCTGAAATAAAATGTGTCAGTTTCCACAAAAATATAAAGCAGCACAACTGCTTTCAACATTGATAATAACAGGAAATGTTTCCTGAGCACCAATTATTAATGATAATGATTTATTAATGATATGATTTATTAACAATCATGTGACACTTAAGACTAGAGTAATGGCTCCTGAAAATTGGCATCACAGGAATAAATTACAGTTTAAAATATATTAAAATAGAAAACAGTTATTTTAAATTGTAATCATATTTCAGAATATTGCTGTATTGTTCTGTATTTTTGGTCAAATTAATAATGAGCGTAACAGACTTTCAATAACATTAACTCCAAACTTTGAACAATAGTGTACATTTTGTAAAATCATTTTCTTTTCTCTTATTTTTTTCCTCAAGTTCCTTGGGGGTCCCTTCAACCCAATTAAAAAAAACCTGAAACATATCATTGCAATGACAGTGACAGTAACGCCTCTCTCACCTGAACAAGTGCAGGGTGTTCGGGCCAGTCACTCAGGCGCTGTCTCACAGCCTTACTCAGCTGTTCTAGCGCTGGCAGGCAGATCCGGGCCTGACTCATATTGGTGTCTCTGTAGAAGTCATATGGCCCATCACTCTGCAGAATCAGTCCAGCTGGACCTCCAGAACCACTCACAGTGTTCTGGAGCAGAGTACTGAGGAGAAGCTGAGAGCCCATCAATTTAGGGTTCACTTCACAATCTGAGAGAGAAAGGGATAAACAGGGAAAGATCAGATGATGAGATATGTGGGGGCCGAGGTTTTCTGATTTGTATAAAATCATGCCTTCATACCCATTAGATGGTAGAAGTGGGCTATCAGTGGAGCTGTGATTTGATATGACGAAACCAGGGCACTGATGTGGTCTTTGCTGTGATTGGTTGGCGGGTTGGGTTGGTACCACAGTGACTGAGCATAAGACAAACAGAGTCTCTGATGGACCTGAACCACTGTGCTCATGCTGCTGACCAACAGGAAGCTGCTCGTCTCACTAGACGACTCCTCCATATCTGCATAATCGTCATCCTCTATGATTATTGGCTGATCAAGACTAGGTTCTGAAGTGATATCAGCAAAATCCTGTGGAAAAAAAACAAAATATTGATCCAAAGACAAACTCTTACCAATCTGGCAACAATGGAGAGGGCAACAAAACATGCAAATGTGTGTAAATAAATTACATCCCACTTAAAAACTTGCATTTGACCCTTTTAATGCATGTTTACCTTGTGGTAAGACGGGAAAGAGCGTCTGAACTCTCTCTCTTCCTGCTGGTCCTCTGTAAGGCCTGTCCCATGTAGACGAGAGCGACTGCGGTACAGACTGGCTTCCATCTGCTCTTTTTCTCTCGCTCTCTTCTCCTGCTCGTCCCATTCATTCACTATAGCCTGAAAAAAACATCACAGTCTGTTACAAAACCAAAATTATCATACAAAACTAATTATTATATTATTTTTCAAATATAACCAGTATATTATTTTTCTTCTCACACAGAATGTCCATATCTATATACTAACTAAATTAACAACAACAACAACAAAAAACCTATTTAAAATAGTTTTCATGACTTATATATTGATCATAAATAAATAAAGCTAAAATAAATTAAAATGACTGGATGAACTTAAAACGTAACTTAAAACTAAAAATTAGAAATGATGCTTTGGCAACTAACTGAATAATTGAAGTAATAAAAACAAAAAATAAAACAGAAATAAATATAAATGAAAGCTATATAGAAATAAAAAAATAATAAAAATTTGTAACTAATATGAAAATGAAACTGAACTGAAAACATAAAAATAAAAGGCAATATAAAATATTAACAAATTCTAAAATAATACATAATACCAAATGAACCTTTTATATATCCATATTATGTATTTATTTAGTATACAAATGGTTTATTTATTTATTTAATTATTTATGTATTTATTATAAAAAGTTAGAGGACACCACATTAAAAATCTGAGATTCAAAATCTCATTGAAATTAAATTCAAAATATTATTTGGGATATTTTTACTTCATATCTCACCTGGCAAACATGTCTGAAGAGTTTTTGCGTCTCTGCACTGAGATGTCCAGCACTCAGTGTGTGACTCTGTATGTACAGCAGTGCATTCAACAACAAAAGTGCATGATCTGGGATCACACGGCTGACCTCTGTTGCTGGCAACTGCTTTCCCAGGCCCTTTAGCATGTGCAAGCATTCCCTTGAACACAGGTAGTCTGCACAAGCCATATCAGAGGACGACGCTGGACTTGGAAAAGCTAGCATAGTGGACACGAGACGTGACAGACCCGGTTGGGCAGTCACTGACGAGGACACCTGAGACGCCAGGAGTCGCATGCCATGCTGCACTTGCAAAATTGCTGCCCGTAGGGGTACAACCACGTCAGGATAAAGCGGGTACTCCTCAACCAGCCGCTGGGCAAAGCGGTGCTGTGAAGCCTGCCAGACAGCTTCCTCCTTCAACAAACCCTGAATTCCCAGTCTTGATTTTGGGGCCTGTAAGGCCTTCAGGAGGTGGGAGAGCAGGTTGCCCACTGCAGCTGGTTGGCCGATGCTGCACAGGTAGTGCTGAAGTTCCTGATACAGGCGACCATATTGGGGGTCAGGGGGGCGGCAGGCTTGTTTACGACTCAGTTCACAAATCTGCTCCTTCACCTGCTGCATACGGATCCACAAGTACCTACAAACACACACAAACAACAAAAGAGAATTCAACATCCAATTGGAAATTGGAAATTTAATTGAATATCCCTGATGTACAATACGAAAAAAAGGATATTGAGGGGATTTGATCATAAACAATTTAATATCAATATTAGTGCTGGTCAACGATTAATCGCAATTAATCACATCCAAAATAAAAGTTTTTGTGTACATAATATATGTGTGTGTACTGTGTTTATTTATTATGTATTTGTAAACACACACACATGCATGTATATATTTAAGAAAAATATGTTATGTTTATTATATATACAAAATCTATACTGTATGTGTGTGTATTTATATATACACAACAAATATACACAGTACACACACATATATTACATAAACAAAAACTTTTATTTTGGATGCGATTAATCTTTGCCCAGCACTAGTTATTTCAATATCGGTTGATATTAGTTGAAAATCTCTCACATCTGTCATATCATATTCATTACCTGATGCGAGGATGCTGGAAGTTGTCAGTTGTGCTACTCTCCTCAAGCTCCGCCCCTGTGAGCAGCTGTGAGGACAGACTCCGCCCTCTCCACTCTTCCTGTAGTAAAGCAAGCTGAGAGACACAAAGAAAGTCATCTTGAGGTGATTTACATGTAATTGAAAGGCTGCAATAAATCTCCAGAAATCTCACAAAAGCTACCACTTGCAAGCTTGTCTCACCTCTTCTTGTGCATAGCGGAGTTTATATGCCCTTTTTGCTGCAGGGTCAAAAATTGTTTGTGGAGCCCAAATTTGGATTTGCAGCAGACCCATATTCACCCAGAAAACTCCAGACCGGGAAAGTTGGACTGAATCTTGTGCCCGGTTTTGTGCAAACTGTGTCAAGCATGTCACTAGGGTATCTAGAAAGCCCTCTGGGAGCAGATTTTCCGGCAGGCCTTCTCTGATGGCGATCTGAATCTCCTGCGCTGCAGAAATAGGGTCCTGGCCTTCAGTTAGACTGTCACAGGATTCTGCATAGCTTTCCTGTAAACCTGGAGACAACAGCTCAGAGAGAGACTGCAGTTGTTTACGCAACACAAGTCCTTGCAACCTACAGTCAGTTAATCTACAGAGAATGAGAAAGGGGATTGAAAGAGACAGAAAATTAAAAATTAATCACTGCACAACAGAAATGACAAAAACTGTTTATTTTAACAATTATAAAAATATTAAACATTTACCAAAGAATAAAAACATTTATAAAATTTTTGAAATTTAAATATATATATAAAAAAAATCGAATACAATACTGTTCTAAAATATTTAAAATCTAACAAGACGTGTTCCTTAACTAGGTGTGATATGTGTCTCTACCTGAAGTCAGCAAGCTCAGGCATAGCCATATTATCCCAGATCACAGCACTCAGATCTTGTAGCTGCCCGGTTCTCTCTCTCCACTCGCCCAGGGTCAAACGTGATGATGACAGGAAGTGTGACCCCGATGGATCCCATCGGCCGCCAGCATCAGTGCTGCTCAGAACTCCCAGCATGCAGCGGGACCACACTGCACGACTCAGCATGCCAGGACCCTTCACATCAACAGACATCGCATCAAGGTTATTTATGAAGATACAAGTTATTTCTACGTTAAATACAAAAAAAACCCCTTTATTTTTAGTTCTTTCTCTACAAACACACACACACACCGTATCAGATGGTCCCAACAGTGATCTGGAGTTCATGTGCTCCTCAGGGTTCAGCGGATTCCACTTCAGCCAGCGGTCAGGGTCAGAGGTCACGCTTCCGCTCCATAACGCTGCGAGTGTCTCAGACAGCAGCTCACACCACACAAGCGGCAGCTCCTCCACAGGCTGGGGAGGGAATTACAAGAAGACTGATCAGATTTAAAAACTGAGATGAACTGAAATTAAAGGGGTCAAATAATGTTCTTTTTAGCAGCATCATATGACCCCTTTAAAGCATGTCAACATAATTCTGTTACACCAAATACACAAAATAATGATCTTTAAAAAAGCATCATATGACCCCTTTAAAATATTAGTCCCTAGTGCAGCATGTGTTTCTCGGTAAATGGAGGATTGAATGCTTTAACATTTATAAATGGAATGTTTAACAAAGGTCACTTGTATTGTCTGCATGATAAATGTAAAGATCAAGCTTAATCATTGTATTGTTTGTATGGTAAATTCAACAATCATCAATGCGGTCATTCAGAAAAACACCAGAATGATTATGAAGGTGTTTTGACAGACCCGCTCAGTGCCGAGCAGGAACCAGAGAGGCTGCAGCTGTCGGATATTCATGGGGGTCGACTGCATACAGAAACGCAGATGGTTAGAGAAGGACCTGCGCAGACCATCTTCTGCTTTCTTACTGCTCCTGTAGACCAAAATATGCAAAACAATATGAATAAAACATTATACAGAACAAAGAATAAAGTCTTATTAACGGCCTTGTGCTACAAGATCCTACTTTATAAAATCAAGTGCCAATTTCCAGTGTTATTGTTTACTAAAATTAAAACTTATATAAAACATTTTGCTAATTGAGAAAGTTCAAATAAAATGAAATATAAATATTAGATAAAAAAATCTATCTGAAAATGTGAAAAGTTCAAGTACTAATATTACTAAAACCAGTGGTGTAATGTAACGAAGTAATAATACTTTGTTACAGTACTTAAGTATTTTTTGGGAGTATCTGTACTTTACTTGAGTTTTTATATTTCAGACAACTTT